TTTAAGAAAAAAAACAAGATCTCACTAAGTCACTGAGCTGGACTCAAATCTGTGATCCTTTTCTAGCTTCCTAGAGTGCTGAGATTACAGGCATGAGCCACCATATCTGACTTGTTTGATCGTTTATTACTTCAGTGCTAGGGATGGAATATATGGACTCCTGTATGCTATGAATCACTCTGCCACTGAGATGCACTCCCAGACTAATGGCAATACTCTTGATTGATGTTTATGCTAATATTTTAGCCTCAAACTCAGAAAAGACAATATTTTTTTGGTACCAGGGATTGAACTCAGGACCTTGCACTTGCCAGGCAGGCATTTATGCCACTGAGTTATCTCCCTGGCTCACGACTTAGGATTCTGACCTGTACCCAATGCACCTCAAATACAAATCTAGGAATGTTACATGTTGTACTTAAGCAGGTAGACTAGGTACACCATAGGAAAAGTTTATCTCAACTTCTGCCTTGGGCGAGGCATACAGCTCAGCAGCACAAGTGCCTGCCTGGCAAATGCAAGATACTGAGTTTGATTCCTGGTACCAAAAAAAAAAAAGCAAGCAAAACTTCTGCCAAACATCTGTAGTAACTATAAAATAATTCAGCTCAATTCATTTCTTAACAAATTTTTCAATCAATCAGAAGTTTAAGTACCTTATCATGTTGTGTTTCTTCTAATTGTTTTTTTGCATTTTCAACTTCTCGTAGTAGAGAATTCTAAAAAAGATAAGAAGTTTTCAGTACTAATTTTTTAAAATATCACATCCAATAATGTGGCTATGGGAAGGTTCAGATGGGTATACTAAGGAGCAATGTCACAGTCTCATACTATCACTGGCAATAAGACTATGATGATATATATTGTCTCTTGTGCATGTAAAAATGCTTCTTTCACTTTTCAAAGATCTAGATTTAGGAATGTAAAGTTCATGGTTCAAGTTTATTTTAAGCAGGTAAACAATTTTATACTAACCTTTAGGTTTTGCAACTCATTAGTCGCTTACAAAACCAGAAATCAAATTTTAAATGTAAAATTAAATTTTAAACAATTCCTACTTTTAAGGCCAATCTGGTCAGGAGGTAAGAGTTAGTATTTTATGATTTAATAATGTATTCTGTAATCGCTTTTGTGCAAAATTAAATGTGTCTCCTAAAGAATAGTAAGCATGGCTCAATCTGCCTTGGTGCCAACAGTAGGACATTTCTGAACCTCACCTCCAGGGACACTGTACAATTAGAACAGGTATCATCAAATCTGAGAACAGCTGTCTGTCAGAGCATCTCTGACACAAACTGTGGGATATCCTTTCCTTGGGGAGCAGTTGGCATACTTAAAAGACTTGAGCACTCAGAGCCCAAGCTCAGATTTCTTCCAAACTAAACCTTGTCTTAAAAAAAAAAAAAAAAATTCTAGTAACAAAGCATTAAAGGGCAAGCACTGGGCCAAATAAAAATTCTAGTGAAGAAGCTGAGGTCAATCAGCCAAACCCAACTCACTGCTTATTTCTGTGGGAAGAAAAAACAATTCATAGAAAGATAAGACCTCTCTCCTCTCCCAAGACTGGCTGTAAGATCTTCCTGTAATAGCCTGACATGCACCCATCTGGCTAATGTAAAATTTTACTGGAACAAAGCTACATCCATTCATGCATGTGCTGTCTATAACCACTTTTGTGCTAATTACTGGCTAGCACACAGTTATTTCACTTAATTTCTCATAATAACGATAAACTTAAAATATTTACTACCTGGTCCTTTACAAGAGATTATTTACCTACTCCTGTGCTAGAGAACAGAATGACAACTTCCCAAACACTCAAATGGGGCAAGAACATAGCACATGATTAAGTCAACTTAGTGACTGACAGCAGCCTGCACCTTCCAACCACAGTAAGAGCCCTACTTTCTGTAATGGTCAACTATCACTATCAGCCCATCCTTCAGGACAGAGGGTGACTGTTTCTCTGTGAAGGCCCTTCATTGAGTCCAGGGCTCAGCTACCTACCTTATCTTCCAGAGCAGCCATTCTCTCCTTCAGATGGAGCTGAAGCCTCTCATTGGACTCTGAAAGCAACTTGTCAACAGTGTCTGATAAACGTTTATTATGTTCTTCATTCATCTTTTCTCTTTGCCTTGCCTAAAACAGAAGAAACAAAGACTGGACTGCAAATAGACATATTACCATTAATGTAAAAGTACCAGGCCCCATTCAGACATGGTGATGCATGCCTGTAATTCCAATGCACTGGGAGGCTGAGGAAGGAGGATCTCAAGTTTGAGCCCAGCCTAGCCAACTTAGCCACTTCATAATATCTTATCTTAAATTATAATTTAAAAAGTCAGGGATGTAGCTTAGTACAAAGGCCCTGAGTTTAATATCTATTACAGCAGAAAATACAAAGGACCAAAAGTGAATCACACGTGTGCCATCATTCACCTGGTTGCTCTCTTCCCACTGTCATCCCCAGAGGACACTCTGAAACGATGTTCGGAACCAATTCAAGCAAGGGAAGCTCACTGACAAGGCTTAGAGAATGCTAACGAGATGGTCCCATTGCTTCTGTTAAATACAGAATTCATGGCAGCCTCAGGAATGTGTAGTCATTAACTGTAAGATAGACTTAGACTGGAGAGTGGAGATAGTATGCAAGAGGTAGCAGGTATTTAAGGGGTGAGGAATTTCTCCTTTATGTAAATCAAAGCTTAGGTCTGGATTCAAGGGAAAAAATGAACTTAAGTTAAAACAACAACAACAACAACAAAAATAAATAAATAAATTATTGTGAAAAGAGATAGAGAATGTTTTGCTTTTTAATAAAAAAAATTCCTGCTTAAATTTCTCATAACGTAAATTTATATCCAAAAACTACAATTACCTTAAGAATTTCATATTTGACCCAGAGCCCAGGTCCAGCATGGAACCTGCAGCAGAACTCCCTGCAAACAGGCTAGAGACAAGACGCACCCAGCTGATCCAGGAGCAGAACATCTTGCCAGAGTGGCATAGAGGATGCAACTCCAAGGGCTGCAACAGGAAGAGGTGGAGCACAGCAACCAGATCCAAGCCACACCTACTTGGACAAGTTTGATCCACTTGGTAGATCTGGACCTGGTGCTAAGGTAATAACTCTATCTAAGCTCTACACCAAAGGCCAGAAGACAGTGCTGTAGAAAATGACAAGGAAAAGGAACAAAATGCAGTCTCAGGCCCTGAGCCCACCCAGAACAAATGTAGAAGACATTAGCATAGAAGAAACTGGAAATCACACACCTGAAGCCTCTGAAATAATAGCATCTGAAGTAATGAAACAACTACAGAAAGGTATAGAAGAAATCAGATCAGAAACATTTCTGAAGTAAAAAGAGAAATGATAACTATACTGAAAGAAGTACTAAGTGCTTCTAAAGAAGACACTGATAAAAAAATAGAGAATATAAAAATGATGGAATCCTTGAATAAGCAATATAAGAAAGAAACAATGCATGAAGCAGATCCAAAGTGATATACAGAAATTTAAAATCTCAATCACAAGCTGGCAAAACCATTTGAATAAAAGTGAGAATAAACTTTCAGACCTTAAAGATACCATTGCAGCTAATAAAAAAGAAGAGATCTCTTAAAAACAACTAGGATACAGGAAAAAATAATTCAGTACCTTCAAGACGATCAAAGATGAACAACGTGAGATTAATAGGCATCGATGAGAAGGAAGGAGTCAATACAAATGATATAAAAAGAATATGTGTGGAAGTAATAGCAGAACACTTCTCAAATATAGGGAAACAATCTGACATTCAGGTAACTGAAGCACATAGAACTCCAAATAACATCAACCCAATTAAAACCACACCCAGACATACAATAATTAAGATCCCAGAAACTCAGCACAGGAACAGTATACTAAAAGCCACTAAAGAAAAGAAATAAAAGAAACATATCACATTTAAAGGAAAACCCATCAGGATAACGGCAGATTTCTCTTCACAAACCATCAAAGCAAGAAGAGCATGGAGCAAAGTACTTCAAGTCTTGCAAGAAAACAAATTCTAACCCAGACTGATATACCCTGCAAAACTCTCAAGTATAATGGAGAAGTGAAATACTTCCATAACAAAGAACAACTTAAGAATTTCATGATGACAATGCCAAACCGACACAAGACTACTAAAAGATGTTCTAGAGAAGGAGCAAAATGACCACAACTCCATGAATGAGAATGGAAAGAGCCCACCAAATAGGTCAAACAGTTGCACACAGGACAATAAGGGGTATACAAAAGCAGTCTGTTTCTCTTCTGTATACAGCAGCAAGATGTTTCCATCAGCATGTTCTACAAATGGACTTCTCCTGTACCCGATGGGTCATGATTCTGTCTGGGTCTACAGGGTGGATATCAAGGAAATAGCAGTAGCTCAGTCCCACAAGTGACACCTGGACACCAGTAAGTGTTATGGACATTATCCATGTCCACGACACACTAGAACTTTATGCGATATCCTATCCCCAAATTGTTAGAAGTGCAGGTCATTTATTTGTCATTCCAGTATTTATGTTATATTTTATTCTTAGTAATTCTTTACTATCATGAACACTTTTTCTTAGTTCAATTGCTCTGAAACATTTTAAATGAATTAGTATTTAATTTTCTGAATATTGCTTAATCTTAATTTTTGTTTTAAGATTCATACTGTATATTTGACTTGCAATCTATTTAGAACATATGGTATATTTTCTCCTAGTATTACAAACTAAGAAGTATATTTCCATTTTCCATTGACTTTATATTACTTCTTCCCTATCTTTTATACACACACACATAGGTGAAAAGAAATATATGAAAATATGTGTATAACCCGACATAAGATACTGTTTCATAGAAATCTTTAATGACCTTTTAAATAGGTTCAGTTAATATATTTTACATAGGCCTGCATAACTATCATTTTGAGAGCTCTTTATTCTTCATCCAGGCGCATACAGCAACTTCTCTTGCCTTCTGAATTATGCTCTTTGGTATTTCCTATATGCTATGTCTGGAGGTATTAGAATATTTCGAGTTTGTATAACTGGAAAATATTTTACTTTTAGTTTTCAAAGGTATGTTTGTTAAGTATAAAATTCAAAGAGGACAGATCTGGGTATTTTTCTTTCTTTCAGTCCTTTAATTAGTCTAGTTTCTTACATACTTGGTCTTTTTTTTTTTTTTCTAATGCAGAATAAGATGCTATTTAATTTTGTTGTTCCATAGCTAACTTTTTTATGTATATGCTTTAATGATTTTTTTTTCTTTACAATAAGTTTTTGGACAATTTCATTTTTGTGTGTCTGGGTATGATTTTATTCAAATTTCTTATGCAAAAGGTTTATTTTTCTTGGAAATGTGGTGTTATAAGTTCAACTAAACTCAGAAATTTTAAATCTTTAAATATTTATTGCCGACCTCTTTCTACTTTAAGAATTCTAATTATATAAGTTTCTTGATTTTGACACAGTGAACTATTATATGACTATTCTATAAATTCTTCATTTTTATTTTGGACAATTTTTATTGTTATATTCATTTAAGTTTGTTAATAATTTATTTACAATGTGCAATCTATTATTAATATCATGTAATGTATTCACTTCAGAAATATTACTCTGAAAAATCACTGTCTATATCTTGTATCTTTCACATTTCAGTATTTGTCTACAAATTTTAATATATGCAATTACTGATTTTCAATAAAGTTAATAATAAAAAAAATTCATAATGTGGTAATAGGTGACAAGTCTGGGGTTTTGCTTTTATCTTGTTTTGTTACTGTCGTACTAGGAACTAAACCCAGGGCACTAAGCTACATCTTCAGCCCTTTTATTATTTTGAAACAAGATCTCACTAAGTTATATAGGATGGGCTAGAAATTGTGATGTCCTGCCTCAGTTCTCAGAGTGCTGGGATTATAGGTGTGTACCCTCTCATAAGTGGCACATGTCATTTTAAGACTTAAAAGCTTGGTTTTCACTCCATACCCTGAATGGACATAAGTGATAGGAGGATGAAGAAGAAGGTGCTAACAGGTGTCACAAACATTACCCTGTTGCTTGAGTACCACTGCAGTGCTCAGAGGCTTGTCTCAAGCAGAGGGTAGTGGGTGTGAGCTACAATGTGCACTTATGTCTCACTGCCCTGTCCAGGTAGGTGGACTGACTCTGCGAGGACTCACCTACTCTGAGGCCAGCAATGCTTAGATATGCAGCTTCCTACTCACTGGTAAAATGTGAAGCAAGAGGCATCTCCCTTTACTCAGACACGCACTGTAAAGATTAAATATATAAAGTCCCTGGGATGTGCACAACACAGTAGCTCATTATCTAAGAGGTCCACACTTCATACAGGATACAGAATACCTGCTATCCTTCTTTAGACACATGATTGTTACCAGCATTTGAATATTTTTGAAGTAAGATAGTTTAACATTTACTTTTAATTGCCATAGTTATAAACAGCTCTATCACACTATCCTTCATACCTGCATTAACCATTTGTCATAGTAATGAAGCCCTCTAATAGGGAAAAGGTCATCTCTGCTTACACATAAGAATGTGTTTCAGGATGTGGCTGTGTGCTGGGAGGTGGGGAATGCCTAATATGCAGTCTCTTAATCGGCCTCAAAAATCATTATTTCCTGGAAGCTTATCTGATTCTCTGCAGGGTATGGCCAACCATACAGACTTCTGGTGAAAATACAACTAACAGTCTTAACATAAAAAAGGTGGGTTATATGGAAGTGTGAAGGTTCTACAATTAGGCATATATACTTCCTCCACCCATTTGTTAAAGAGAAATCCACCCCAAATACTAGACCACATGCCAGCTGGGCCTGGGACTGCCTTTTCCTATATCTGTCCCACAGTGGTACCTCTGTCAGGGAAAATTCTGAGGCCTTCAACTGACAGAACCCTCTACCGCATCTTCCTAATGCTCTTTTCATGGAAGCTCAACTGTGATGTTCCCCTTGCTCAGAAATATCTCTTACTGCATCTGCCCTTATGTTTGGAATTAATAGTTTAGTACTTGGGAATAGAGGTCTGACCATGAATTTGGTACTTCAGTGCTACATCCTGAGCTGGAAGACTACTCATCTACATCAATAGGCCTTGCCCTGTCTCAGGTGGGCCTTGGCCAGTACCACAAGTTCTAGGGGAACCTGTAAGATTCCACTTGTACCTGCAGCAGTTCCCTTAACAGACTGGCTAAGCAAGAAGCCTTTCCTAGACCCGAGACGCCATGTGCCTAGCAGTGCTGTTCATGGGCATGTATTTCTTCTGTGGACATAAAATTTGTGTGTAGGGCATATATTCATCAGTGGACAATGCACGGGCAAAGCCACAAATTACACACAGTAAGAACTGAGATGGAGGACGTCTGGGAGATCAGACAAAGGAAGCAGTAGAAGAGACTGATCCCCTAAGCCTTTGCTGAGTCTTGGAGCTCTAGGCTCATAGCCTATTCAGCCTCTCCAACGCCATACACACCCGCTGCAGTTCTTGGTTCTTCTCCTCCAGCTGCGCCTCCATCTGCCGTAGCCTCTCTTCAATGTTGCCATGTCTCTCTTCAGCCTGCCAACAAAGACAATGTGAGTTGATCTCATAGGTACAATATCAGAGGCATGCTGGGTACTACTGCAGCAGCAACAAGCATCACATGCTCTGCGTGAACTGGCTGAACCACATCAAAGGGAAAGCCTTGCTCACACTGGCCAGCACACCCTCTGTGGCTGCGTGTGTTAAAACTGTGAGATAGCCAACCCTCTGGTGTGGAGGTGCTGAAGCACAGCAGGTGCTAATAACTGTGTGTTTCCCCCACCCCATGCCTGACCTCCACGGATTTGTGATAATCCCATCCTCAGACTGTATCTGGTTAGTCAGCAGGGAAAGCAGAAAGCAGCAAGCACAAGAAAGGAGCAATGTATACATTCTACCTTCCTAAGCTTGGAAGTAAGTTCGAACAGTTTAGCTTCCTTAACAGCAGAGCTCCCAGAAGGCAAAGGGTCAGACTACAAAACCAATGAGGACAGAAAGATAGCAGGGAGAAAAGAAACCAACACTTTAAAGTGGATCATGAAGTGGGGTAAGGTTCTGTTATGGCTGGTAGCAACACACCTGCTCAACGGCACGGGTCTATCCACCTTGGACACCACCCACCCTTCCCAAGGTTATCCTTGCCAGCTGGATATGAAATCTGTCCAGCCTTTTCTCTCACCCCTCCCCAGCAGCTAACAAAGCCCAACCACAGGAAGATAGGATTCCTTCCAGGGGCCAAGGCAGCTTCTACTGATGCTGTACTGGGCTTGGCCATGTGTCCTGACACTGCAGTACTAAGCTTTTCCCTACGTTCCTGGAAGGCTGAGCCTTACCAGTGAGTACTCCAGGGCTCCTGTGTGGGCTGGTCCAAGCACCTGCTATAAGACATGCCTATTTCTCTGTGGATATCAGAACTGGGAGGGCAGAGGCTGTTCCTGCACAGGCTTAACCAACAGATCTTGAACAATTGTTGTTTTTTAAGTCAGGCATAGTGAGGTTTGCTTGTAGTCTTAGCTATTTGGGAGGACAAGGCAAGAGGATTGCACGCGCCTAGGAATCAGGGATTTTGGGATGAGCCTGGGAAACAGAGCAAGGCTTTGTGTTCAGAAAAACAAAAAATAAAATAAAAAAAACCCCTCAAAACATTTTTAAGTCATTCCAAAAGAATGAAATGACTTAAAAAATTCATTACAAATTTATTTGATGATCTTTTATAAGGAAATAGCTCTCATATCTCTAAAAAAAAGCTACCCTCTTTTTACACAGCTTCTAAGCCTATGCTTAAAGTTGGTGACTAAAATAACCCTACGAAACAGTGACTTAAGATTACAACATGGTGAATGAACAGCATATACCAGACAGAACTGGAAGGAGACTTGGACTGACAGGGAAGGATGCTGTCTGACATTTGCAAAGCAATCCCATCTCAGACAAACAAGCCTAACATGGTTTGAAAGCCTAATAAGCACTGAAAACAAATCTGAATTGTTCCATGGATACAGGTGCCCCAACATAAAATCATCAAAGTCCTAGATGTAACCAGAAGGGCAGCAGGGTACCTTGGACAGCGCTGCCACTCTCTGGGCCAGCTCTGCTTCCACTTCTGGCAATGTTTCGGCCTTCCTTAAGGTCTGCTGCAGCTTCTGCTCAGCTAGCTCCAGGCGCTCCTGTAACTGGCGGTTTTTATCCTCTGTCTAAAGAAAAGAGTTCAGCCTCAGAATGCAGCATCTCTTTCCTGGCTCTTTTCCATTATTAAAAGATACAGACTAAAACTGCAGGACAGAAGTCATAAGGATTGGGGTGAGGCTTTTCTCTGAGCTTAATTTTAATGTGTAAAACACCTCTTGATAAAGTTTTTGCTTTTCATAAATATCTTCAAAGTAGTGCTTTATAAAGACAAAGGTTCTTATGTGCTAAGCAAAGTCAGTTTTCTCAAAGAGCTCATTCATTCTTATTAACAAGTTAAGGTAAGAACGGTTTGGTACAGCTGGGCATGGTGACGCATCCCTGTAACAGCACTCAAGAGACTGAGGCAGAAGATTGCCCCGAGTTCAAGGCCAGCCTGAACTGCATAGTGAGACACTGACTGAAAGACAGGAATAAAAAAAGAAGGGCTTGGCCTTGTCAAAAAGCAGCCTGACCCCAAATTTAAAGTGATACAACTTTTGCAGATTACTGCAAGAGTGTAGACCTTACTGGCTCTGGGTACCTTTCTCACAGAGCTCTTCCAAAAGAGCTAGCATACTAGCATACTAGTAATAAGCTACTCAAGTTATTTATAAAGTGGATAATTATTCTTTCTAAAAATCCTTTCCTCTAAAAACTTTTCTACGTAGACCAACAAAGATTTTTTTTTTTTTTTTTGCAGAACCAGGGATTGAACTCAGGCCCTTGCGCTTTCCAGGGAAGCGCTTATTCTACTGAGCCATCTCCCCAGCCCCAAAGATTTTAAGACATCTAGAAAACATCTCTTAAGTACAGGTTGCTATAAAGCTACTTTTTTTTATATGCAACATTTGCCTTTTGTCAGTGTGCATTTATCTCAGTATATGATTATGTACATGATCCTTTAAATCCTCAAAAACACATATGTTCTATTTTATAATCTGCTTATGAAGTCATTCTTACCATGAACCTTTTACACATTATTAAACGTTATTCTACAACATTACTTATAATGCCCCTCTACTATTTTATTTTTGATCAAACAATGCACGTTATAAAACAGTGGTACTATAATTCACAAACCTAATTTTTTCTACAACTTTGGAAAAAGATGATCACATCTATGTTTGTGTGGAAAAGTTGGCTGCAGTCATGTCTGTCAGCCAATGCAGAGTTTGCAAACAAATGAAATTTGCCAAATGCTTCTATTTGTGAACCAAACTGTAGTGAACCAAGGCACCATTGTGCCAAGCAATTTTCAAGAAACCTGATGTAAGTCTTTCTAGTTACCAACAAAAGCAAAGCACTCTAAATTCTTTTCCATTCTGCCCCTTTAGTAAAAGTACTAATAAGCAACAGACCTTTCAATGCAAATGAATCAAAGAACATACATCCACAAATATTATTCATTAAAATAAAAAGGTCCATAAAATCCATTACCTGTCGATGTATAGAATCTTTATTTGCAATTTCATTTTCAAGTTTATCATTGAGGTCATGCACAGATGTGGCTTCACGCTGTGCAGCGAGGTAGCGTTTTTCAAGAGTAGTGATTCTCTCCTCCATGTCTTCCTTCTGGGCCATTGCCTACATTAGATATTTCAGAAGGGGAAAAAGGCAGGTAATTAATGCATAATGTATTAATGCATTTCAGTGAAAAAAAAAAACTGGATAGAATCCTAAATTCAAATCAAATATAAAAACTAAACATGTCCTCAAGAGTAAAGTGATTTCAATCTTCTCAAATGTGAATGAAAATGTATTTACAGCAAATATAAATACTCAATATGAGCACAGATTTATCTAAGTAAATGCTGTTCTACTCTTCATTGACCAAAACATACCCATTTTTACATAATATTACAAACTATGCACAATAAAATCTCAAACTATAAGTATTCAGGAAGGTGATGCTGTCTGAGATGGAGACAGCCTGTCTGTCCTGAGCATAAATGGGGTTACACAGTGCAGGGTATGTGTAACCTTTTAGACTTATTTTTTCAGATGAAAGTTGGATAAAATCCCATACAAGTACAGAATTCAAGAACACTGACAAAAGGAACTTAAAGTCAGTTTAATTAAACTGAATGCAACCACCTGAAGTCCACATCCAAATGTATATGATACACTATCAAACACAACGTTTTACATGTGTAATATCTGTCTTCCACCTCCAAATTCCTTGGATTTTTTGGGTCTTCCCATGTTCAGTACATAATTTTTTAACAAATCCTTAATATTTAAAAAGGCAGATCTTAAACAAAAATTTCACAATTCTCTGCTACATATTTTCCTGCCAGGGAGATAGCGCAGTGGCTTACTGTCCTGCCTGGCAAGCACAAACTCCTGACTTTGATCCCTGGTACCAGGAAAAAAAAAAAAAGTATTTTCTCGCTCTGGCCAAAAATTAATATAGTAGGTTATATAATATATTCCAATGCTTTCCTTTGTTCTAAATTCTTACATAAAAGTACCTTGCTAAGCTACCAAACACAAGTAACCATATTCTACATACCTACAAACCAGCCCAGGATCTCATGGAACTACAAAAGGCAGGTTAAAAAGTGACAGGAAGAAGGATCAGAGAAAATATGTGGCCTTCATTTGATTTTATAATAGTGATCATAAAATTACAAAGGCAGAAATGTTTCTCAGAAATGAAAGTATCTGGACATATTTTTACATCAAGATTCTGATGATCCAAATGTGAATAAACTTCACACTATCATAGTTGACCGACCTCCAAAATTCAATATCATACCTCTGTGCCTGAGAAAAATATCAAAACTCTTGAAAACAGCTGATAATGCTCCCTTTCCCACAGCCCCAGAGAACATTCACATCTCTGAGAGTTCAAAGCACAACATGCGACACTGATACACACTTGTTTAGGGAGTACATGTACTTGTGTAGGGAGGAGGAAGCTGAACATAAGGAAGAGCACATTATGACAGCCTGGAAGCTATAGAGATGAATCCATATGAATATGTACAACGAACTTGAACCACCAAAGTGGGTAAAGCCGGGTAATTCTCCTCTACTCTTTTTATACTGGGGATCAAACTCAGGACCTTGTGCTGGTCAGGCAGGCATTTATGCCACTGAGTTATTTTCCTAGGGGCCAGGGAGATAGATGGCTCAGTAGAATAAGCACTTCCCTAGCCAGCGCAAGGGTCTGAGTTCAATCCCCGGTTCTGGGGAAAAAAAAAAAAAAATGAGATCTCCCGGGCACCACCACTCTTTTTAAAAGACTACAGAATCAATCAGTTCAGAGAAGTGCCTTACACAGGCCAATTTTATAAATAAAAATAAGCTGAAAAGCCAACAAGTACTCAGAACCATTGTGACCATAAAGACGCAACTTAAAACAACAGTGAATCAGTTCACACTTTATGATTGAGAAAAATTAAGATGGCAGAAATTTCAAAGTGCTGGAGGGATATTTATATGTGCACTATGCTAGTGAGAAGTTAAAGAATTAATGTAGAGAAAAGTCTGGCACATCTAAATAAACAAAATGTAAGTATACAAAATGAAAAATAAGAGAAAAAAAAAAAAAGGTCTAAAATTTCCCAACCACATGGAGGCAGTATGTCACAGTCTGATAGCGTTACAGTGTTTTATTCCAACAAACCAAAGGGTGAACATATCTCACAAAGGACAAAAGCAGCAGGGGGGAAAAATAATCAATTACTCCAAACACTCCTAATACTCAACATCATGATAACCTTGCAATTTTTATTATCACTTACTTCACGAACATCTCGTTGCAACTTTGTGTTCATTTCTTCAGACTTGATGAGATCCTTTCTAGCTGTGTCAAGATCCTCTTCCAGTTCCGACACGTGGCTGGACAGTGCAGCTAGGCGCTCCTTCATCTGGCTCTGCTCTTTTGACTGCTTGTCTATGACTTCTTGGAGCTCAATCACCTTAGCAAGGTCCTCCTCATGGCTTAGAGAGCCATCAGAAGATCTCTGATGAGGAAAAAAAGAAAACTTTACTTACTGCACTATAAAATAAAATAATTTCAGGAATAGGGACCATCAAAATGGATTTATGCCATCTGCTGAATGACAGAGCTCTAACACTCACTTCAGCCATAGCTGACAATTTAGCTACAGCTTCCAAACACTATCACATAGGTACCACAAACGTAAATGTACAAAATCAGAAACAGGACAAAAAGAAAGTCCAAGGTCTTACTTTTCCGTTGGTGCTTGGTGTATTTTCTTGCTCATGGTTTATGTCAAGCACTCCATCTGTTAGTGTTTTTTTCTGATTATTCTGTTCTTTAAGAATCATTAGCTAAAAACAAAAATTAAGCTTGAGAATAAAATAACTTATGTAACAGAAATGAGCCAAGATAGCAAACTTGCTTTTGGAAAAACATAATTATACAGTACTAAACACAGTAAAACAAGAAAATATATGGCAATGTTATCCCTTCTGAATAGAAACAAATTACTAGAAACAGAATACATTAGCTACTCAACAAAGAGTACTTTAGAGATTCTGCAATCTGAAACAAAAATCTAGTCCCAACTCAACCCTTTCAGGTTGGTTTTGTTTGTTTGTTCTGTACAAGGAATGGAACTTATGACCTTGTGCTTGCCAGGGAGGCACTTGTGCCACTGAGCTATATTCCCCACCCAGGTTGGTTTTTACTTAGAAAGATAAGTGGAATCTGACAATTATTACAGGCTTCATACTTCAAAAAATAAAAATAAAACAGAGATAAACATAAAAACTTCCCAATTTCAGTGCTATGATGATATCCCAAGATTACCTCCTTGTGTGTGGCACCTAGTTCTTCTTCTAACAAACTGCACCTTTCCAGTGCTACTCGCAATCGCTCTCGTACCTGAAAAGACAGTTAAGTTTTTGTATGTATAAATACACTTGTTGTAGTTATCCTAATAAAGTATTAGTGAAATACATATAATAAAGTACTATGTTTTTCACTGATATTATTGTCAAGAAACGTCCTTGCTAATGGTTTTAAATTTTAAAACTAGGAAACTCTTGCTCCTAAATAAATCAATATTATCCAATTCTTAACAGGAAGTCAATATACAAAATTAATCCATATAAGACATGCATCCCAGGGCTGGTGAGATGGCTCAGTGGTCTAAAGCACCTACTTAGAACAAGCTTAGCAAAGCACAGGGACCGCGGTTCAATCCCGCAGCACCACATGCCAGCCAGCCCGCCCCCTGGTAGGCTGAGCTGCCCCCCCCACAAATAAATTTAAAAAAAAAAGACATGCATCCCAGCTAGCACTTGTTAATCATACAGAACATTGTCTTTTACTAGAGAAAATCTCTCTATAAGAATTCAAAAAGCCACAAAAGTTAAAGGTAAATTAACACATGCAAAGCCTGGCATAACATCATGTGCACAACCCACAACCATTAGTGGTGTACCTTTTCATCCAGGGCCTTGTGGTGTTCAAATAAGGACTTCAGAGCTTTAAGCACCTCCACCTCACTGGACACACCTGCAGGAGACTGCGCTTGCCGCTTCACCACAGTCATCCTGAGGGAGCGTTCATGCCTGGAAACAAGGCACTCCAGATGTTCCAGAAGCAGCTGAAAGAAGGCCAGACAGGGACATGCAAAGTATATCTTTCATTTCACATTCAAATCCCTTAAGTTCAACAGAATTAGATAAGTTTCCCTCAACAGTATTAGAAGGTCATTAATTCCTATCAAAAAAATTTTTTTTCTTTTCTTTTTTTATAACAGGGTCTCATTCTGTAGTCTAGGCTGGCCTGGGACTCACTCTCTAGCCCAAGCTGGGCTCTAACTCAAGATACTCCTGGCTCAGCTTCCTAAAAGTTGGGACTATAAGCATATGCCACCACACCCAGTTCCTTATCACCGATTTTAAGCAACATTAATGCAGAAGTGCCTGAACACACATACTGAGACAGAAAATGCACAGAGTTTAAAAGCAGTCAGAATGAATATCTTTTCATTCTAAGACACCAAAACTGATCCTGATGTTGACACCTGAGGCAGATGGTAACCAGAGATCCACTGACCCTCGTGTTGTTCCTTTCTGCTTTCAGCTCAGCAATTTCTTCTTCCCTCTCAAGCAGCTGTTCCCTGCATACGTTGAGTTCTTTCGTGAGTGCTGCAAACTCCTACAAAGCAGCAAAGTAAAGGAATAAATGAATACATCCATGAATAAAAGAAAATCTCTTAGGTAAGACTTCCATTGGCTTCATAGTCCACATACATACACATACATTGAACCCAATCAATATGGCAAAGAACTCCCATGCTCCTCCAGAGAAATGGGGATCAACAAGCTGGCCTGAGACCATGTATGTATTCCCTATGGGCTGAGACCCTAATCCAAACCACCTGATTTCACTCCATGCTAGGTAATTATTGGAAGCACAATAGGGGATAATGGAGTCCAAGCCCCTCTCCTTAGAATCCAGAATCAAATATTTTCCTAAATTAAGATCCCAGAATAGAGCACTAAAGACATTTTTACATGACTCACAGATTTGGGACCTAAAATCCCTGGAGAGATAAATGATGAGGGCCTAAAAGGTCACCACCTAGCTCTAGTCTCCCTTCTATGTTGATGGGGGGGGGGGGGAGGCAGGAAAACTTGGTTAAAGTCGACTTTGAAAAAATGGGCTTTTTTCAAATGCTAGTAAGCCTTTTGCACAAAGGGAAGTCTAAGAAACTATTTGTGCAGCAGTGCGGGAGAGCTTCCAGAAGGCTGAGAGAAGTTGTAGGAGTCCCACAGCACTGTCCTGGACTGAACCTTGTGCTATGACACTGCTTCACAGACACCACAAATGAGCTGAGTTAAAAGATGTGCATTTGGAGCAAAGCAATTCTGAAATAAGTAAAACCATCTGCCAATGTTTAAGTGTTTTTCCTTTAAAAGACAAAGAAGGATAAAGATCCACCCAATAAATAATTAGACCTTTAAAATAACATGTACTTGAGATAGATAATTCTAGAAAGTTGCTTTAGAACAGGTAATGTTCTTTTTGTGTAGGGAGGGGGGAAGGTCTTGCTATGCAGTTCGGGCTGGCCCTGTGCTCACTTCTGTAGCCCCTAGGCTGGTCTCGGACACCCAGTACAGGTGCTGGTGTTGGTGCCTGCTCCAGTGCGACTGGGGAGTCCAGGGCTGGCGATCAAACACCAGTCCTTGTGCTTGCCAGGCAGGTGCTTAAGCCTCAGCTATCGCCCCAACCCAACAGGTGATGTTCTTAAAGCGTATTCGCAGCAATCACTTGCAGCTGAAAGTCAACCTTAACACAGGAAGTACAGGCCCAGGGAAGTCTGCTTTATTTAATTTATTTTTTTGTCTTTTAAGAGACAGGATCTCACTATGCAACTCAGGCTGTCCTTGAGCTCACTCTGTAGCCCAGGCTGTTCTTGAACTTGCAACGATCCTCCTGCCTTAGCCTCCTGAGTGCTGGGATTACAGGCACGCACCACCACCACACCCAGCTATGGAAGCCTATTTTAACAAGGCCAATCCTCATATGCCTAAGCGAGCCACAATGAAAATGGGTAAGTGTGAGAGATGAATAGAGGCAGCACTGCCAAGGAAATCAGTGGAAAAGAACAAAATTTCTCTTTTAAACTACTATTTTTTTCTGTTAAGAATCATGACAGTGGGTGAGTCGTCCTAGCCTGGCAACTGGAGCTTTGTAAGCCTGCTCCCCAGGGAAACTGAAGGAAATGATAAAAAAACACCTTCAAAGCTCCTGGAAATGGCTCAAAGGGTAATAGCAAATGAGGATGTATCTATTCAAGAAATATCAGTAAGAAAGCCAAGAGTTCATGGTATTTGAACCAGGACTTCTATCTGGCTCTCCTCCCAGCTCAGCATAGTAGGCTTCACTGCAGACTGTTCCAGCCAAAATACAGGGCTCCTCAAAACCATGGTGACTCATCTGCATACTGATCAACACTGCAGGGTCCCTTCCTCCAGGCTAGCAACAGAGGGATTCCTCCAGGTCAACAACACAGGGTCCCTCCCCAGGACAGCAACATATAAAGTCTTCTCCCTTGGCCAACAGAGGGTTCGCTCCCTAAGCTAGCAACACATGGTTCTTACAACCAGACCAACACTGCAGGGTCCTCCCTCTCCAATGTCAATAAGGCAGGATCTCTTCCCTAGGCCAACAACACAGGGTCCCCTTCCCAGACCCACAGTGAGTGGGTCCCCTCACCAAGGCCAAGGCAGAGTCTGCTCCTTCTTGCCAACCAGGTAAAAATCATCCAAATGTGTCTTAAAACCCAATAAAGGTCCAGCCAGGTGTTGAGACATCTTTAGGAGGCCAAAAGCTAGCCTTCAGGAATGGGACTCATGGATGGGAAGCAGTGGAGGAAAGGGCACTTGGCCAGGCTGCCAAGCTCCTAAGTATGAGTTCTTCCTTGCGGTACAGAGATTTCTCCTACAGATGCCAACACTGTCCTAGTGGATGCTCTGACTGGCATCTACTGGTGATGAACTCCAGCTGTCAGGTCATCTAGTAACTACCATTAATGACAGAATGTAACACCTCATTAATGAGATTGTTCATCAGAAAGACCTTGTGGCAAGTAGAGGAAAAGTAGACTCCAACTAGCTTAAGTAAAAAAATCAATTATGTTTCACATACCTATCAAGTCGATGGACAGATCTGGCTCTAGGCCTGCCTGGATTTAGGGCCTGAATTTTTATCATTTTTTCCTTCTTTGCTACAATCTGGTTCAATTTTGTGGAGCTACTACCAATTCTGTTTTTGACTATGTCCACAACAGTCTATTATCCTAGTTAATGTCTGTTTCATTTATTAGAGTCCAAGTTCGTTTTCTGTCATATCTGCCTATTTTTATTTCACTCCTGTTTTCATGGATGTTAATCTCTTAAGTATCACACATATTTGTTTTGGCAGTTTTTGTACATTCTCTACCAAATTCTGATACAGTAAAGTAGGCACACATCTGTGAGGAGTCATCTTTGTAAGAGTATCTATCTTTAAGCACTGTGGAATCTGGGTTTCATGCTCACCTAGATGGGGAACTTTCTAGGTGAAATAAAAAAACTTTTTGTTTTGATTCTTCCTGTTTTGTTTTGCCAACCATACCTGACTCTTAGGCTTTATTACAAATGGAGCCGACTGCTCCAGAGGTCCCTCTGCAACCTTGCTTCTGTGCCCTCTTCCAACACACCCCTCTGAGCAACAATGTCCATCAACCATTATGGGGATAGAATCCAGGAGTGGAGGAGAAAAATGAATGGTCTCCCCAAAGTCCTCTGAAACAACCACCCAACCTTCTGCACGTGAACATGTTCTGCTAAAAGTGAAAAATTCAGCTCTCATTCTCCAGGGCCTGCATGTCAACATCCTGGGGAGCTTTCATCTTCTGTTGCTTGAGCTGTGGCTCACTACTCCTCGCTGGCTTTGAGGGGGCTTCCATTTCCATGGCTGCCTTCTCCTTCCGGGCCAGTCAGATCTGCTGTAAGAGCTTCCCGCAATTCTTCCCCAACAGCCTGGGTGCTAGATGCACGCTTCTGTAGATAGTGCTGGTGGTCAGCTTTGTGTCCACCATGGCACCGACTGCCCTGCACCGCACCAGTCACACCAGCTCAGCACCCGCCCAGCATCCACTGTCACTTAATTAACTTCCTTTTCAGCTCCTTGAGAAGCCGGCTGATCTTTCAGCCCTGCAGCACCATGGCTACTCCCTACACTCCCAGGCACCATACTTCTGATTCTTTCTGTTTTTGTTTTGTTTGTTTGCTTTTGTACTGGGGAACGAACTCAGGACCTTGTGCTTGCCAGGCAGGCACCTATACCACTGACCTGATAGGTTTTATTTTGTTAGCACTCTCCCTGTCTTAGTCACTTTTAGCTACTAAA